GGGCAGCATGTGTAGCACACCAAAGTTCTCCAACTGGTTATGTTTATCTTTGGATATACTTTGCGCTTATATTTCTGCACTACTTTCTGTCATCACACATTGACCACCCACCCTTCCACAGGAGCATACTTTCCAAGATCCAGAAGTCGTGGCCTCCTGTGTTTGTTTACATCCAGCGCCAGAATCCTCTCGCAGCTGGCCAAATAAATGTGTAGAAGACTATGGAGCTCTACTGCGCAGGTATGGGCAGCTGTGAGAGTTCAGCTTATTGCTGACAGAGTTTGCAATATGCCGATTATGGCACGAACATCTCTGATATCTAGTTAGTTATACTATGCTGCAATGAGATATTACTTACATATATTTTTAGTGCATTGGAAGGTTCTCTTCAACATCCAACCTCCCTGCACACGTAGCGAACCAAATTGGTCAGGAACCCGCACTAATCAACTTATTTGCCAATAGCAAAGGATCCCTGCCTACACAGCCCAACAATATCAACATATGTATGCCAACATTACTGACCATCAATTAAAAACAACCTTTCGCTGAAGCCTTTGGATAAATGCATAAAGCATAGTTGAACCCATCAAACTAAGATTTTTATCCCCAATACTAGGGATGCACCGATACTGATATCTAGGCCACAACAGGGTATTTGGGCGAGTACTCGTACTCCCCAAATGCTCCGATAGCGGAACTTCCAGTCAGAGAGATTTCCTCTGACTGGCAGTGCCTCGATGGAAGGCAGGCGGCGGGTAATGACACGCCGTCTGGCTTCCTGATTGGTCGGGAAGACGTCTCCATGCTAGCGGAAGTACCGGTACTTGGTATTGGCAATTACCCACAGATAAATGTCCGTACTCGTACTCAGAACGGAAAAAAAACGGTATTGTTGCAATACTGAATACCCCTGCTAAGTCACAACAGCTATCTGGGGCTAATTAAATCATTTGATCTTCAAGCTGCCAACCATGGTACATGGCATACACATATATAGAGGAAAAGTCTGGAATGTCACAAGCTTCAATATTGCGAAATTCTTTGGTATGCAAAATGCATGTTCACTATGAAAACCATCATTCTCATCATAAGGCATCAAAATGTGCAAAGTACAACAGGTAACCCCTTTTTCCCTAATGAATATATAATTTGAGTCAACAAGACTGAACAGCGTAGTGAAATAAATATAATTTTTTAAATATAAATAATCTAAATAAGAATGGCCGAATCTGTGCAAAAAAAGAAGAGCATACATTTGATGCAATGTTAGGAAATGTGTAAAAGAAAGGAAACTGATCTAGATGCCGTGCAGAACACAAATGCGTAGGTCTAGCCAGGAAAAAGTAAGAAGCATGCAAAGTAACGCCTTATAAATTAACACTGCAATATGAACACGTGATGCAAGTATGAACACGTGATGCAAGTGATACACTGCAGGCAATACACTGTTATCAACCGATTCCGAGACAATAAATAGAACCACCATCCAAAAACTGACTGAGGAAAGACACACTCATCTGAAAGTATAACATCCCGGTACTGAGACACCATGCACCAGTAAACACTATCCATACCATAACAACCCATAACAAAAAGGCACTGCACATTTGGAAAACCTTGTGAATTAAATTATTTTTTACATGCCATTTGCTTAAAATGTGTTTGGGTTTTTTTTTAATGAACCTTTGATTTGCAATATAGAATAAAAAAGTTCTTGTCAGAAACACATAATTTCTGCACTATTTGCAATTATATCTAAAAAGAAATAAAGCGATTTCAAAGATACATTTCTGATATCCCTCCATATTTGTGGTACACAACTCCTATAAAGATTAAAGCTTACACCCTAATTTATTTTTTTTCGCTCAGCCTGCAGGCTGAACATAAAAGAATCTCAGAGAATCTTCCATCCACGCAAAACTGGTGTTAATTTCATCGGCTAATAATTTTTATCAAAGTTTTCATCAACAACACTTTTTCAGTGACTAAAACTAAATAAAAACGAAGTTATGAATAAAACTACAAATTAAAATATATTGACATTTTAGTTGACTAAAACTAGACTAAAATGTTAGGGAGAGACAATTTGAGAAGAGATCCAATCAGAACTAATCTCTATGGGCTGTCAGTTCTGGTTCCATCCTGAATGGACGGCTAGTAGATAATAAGTGCAATGGTATTACGGCCAATATAGTTTTTCATCTTAATGGTTTAGAGTTGCACGTCTGCTTGAAAGATTGAAGAATGTCATATGCAAGTTGTTATAATCAATGCATATCTAATTACTGGTCCTTTGTTGAAAATACTCGAAATGTAAGATAAAAGACATGTTACAGTTAAATCTGTGCCTGTACTGCATGTTCACACCTTAATACCATAAGCAATAACAGGTTAACAGATGTTTCCTCCAGGCGTATATAATGAGATTGGAAATTCTTACATTACTCTTTAAAGCCACTTGATTTTAGTCGACTAAAAGCTTAAAATATTTAGTATTTTACTGCGGTAAAAGAAACGTGCGTTTCCGAGGGCTATCCCGCTGTATCTTAATGGATACGCGCGACAAAATACGCCCCAAAGAAGCTCCTGTACTTCTTTGGGGGTTTTGCAGCGCGTTCCTACGCGCTCTAAAACCCCCAGGTCAGAACCATGCCCATATGCAATCATTGGTTTCCACATGTTGAGCGTTTTACAGCACGTAGGAACGCGCTGTAAAAAACACCGAGCTGTGAACCAGACCTAAAGCTAAATCGAAATTTGCGATCAAAATTAACACTGCACAAAACAGTGTGGATGAATGAAATCTTCCATGGTGAATATTTTGTTCCGAGAGCTCGCATCTGCTGCTGTCAGAATACAATTGGCTGCGGTCACTGTTCGGCTGAAAATGTTGTTTGCCCTGTCTCCTTCGGCAACAGTCGATTGAGTAACTGACTTTTGTTGAGCCAGCAGGGCTAGAAACTAAGAATTTTATCTGATTGCTGTGAATCATCCAATATTCTAACATTGTATGGCCAGACTACGAGTCATGCAGCTAGTTATAAATATAAAATATGGTTTGATTTAATACCTGACAAACAGCTGCATATAAAAAATGTCCAGAGATGTGGTGGATCAAATGCTATCTTTTAAGTCTACATATTTTGGTAATATATCTACAGGGGCTTCTGCGCTCGATTAATCTAAGAAAAACTAGGCGTTACTCCTTACAGCTGCTCACTTAAATTGGCTCCATGAGCCTGCATTAATATCATTCAAATATGTGAAGCTATCACCCAACAAGTAAACAAATATGTGCAAAAAACAAATATTATAGTGAAAAATACTACTGTGAGAGGGAAAATACTACTGTAATGAGATTCTGATACGCGATTTTATTCATTTTATGTGAGTGTATTTTTTTGAATAAAATGATTTCCGTTAAGATCAGGATTGTTGTCATCTGAAGGAAGGAAGATCACAGCTACAGTGCGAGGAAGGAGTTTTACCCTACAAGAAGCGCTTTGAGACTCAAGGGTCTGAACACGGAGGTGAGAGGCTTATTTAACAGAGCACTGGTGTTTTTTATGAGCACTTCAGCAAAAAATACACAAGAAATTACAAGAGCTGGCAGAGTGACACACAAAGAAAAAGCAAGAAAACACTTTTTTTTTGAGAGAGAGCTGCCTGCTTTTAATGAATTTATGAACACCTTGTGATTCACACAAACAATTGACTAGAAGATTTAATTTTGAAAATATTTGCTATATATATAATATTTTTGTTTGTTTGTTTTTTTCTCTCACAGTAGTATTGTTCACTATAATATTTGTTTTTTCCACATATTTGTTTACTTGTTGGGCTTCACATATTTGAATGATATTTTGGTAATAAACAAGGGATATTACAGACTTTGAAATAATGGGAAATCAGAAAAACATGTGCATTTAAAATGTTGGCTATGCCTCATTATAAAGACTACATAATGTAGAGAAAAATGTGCAAATGCAATAAATTACATCAGACACAATCGCTTAAATGAGAATAGATATTAAGAGCAAAGCAGGTGGGCAAACCCTAGGACAAGTCTTAAAATAAATCAAATAATGCTAGCTCAAAATAATTACTGGGGTTACACCTAAAACACTGTAAATGATTTCCCAAGAGTTCCAGAAAGTTCTGAAATATAAAACACTAACAAGGTCAAACTAAAGTCCCAACCTAACTGGAATAACCCCACGTATACAGCATTGGCCAAAAAAGGATAGGGGTAACAAAAAGCTCAACTGTTATTGAGCATAGATTGCTGCAGCTCCACTTGTTTGCCATTGATTTATTTCAATGACAACTGGAACGGCTGAGCAGGTCACAGTCAGTCATAGTCATGTGAATTAGGATCGTCAAAAGAAAAGATAATATGTACTGCAAATTAAACAGCAGACAGTTACCTAACCAGTTAATTCATCAGAAAGATGCAAAAGCTGTTTAAAACATCAAATTTAAAAGATTTTGTTTAATATGATTTATATTATATATTAGTGTTTTACCAGAAAAAAGGACCTTATCTGGTTTCTTGCAATACCTTACCCTTGCATAATCTGTTGCATTCAGCCTCTTACCTGGATTTTGGCTATAAAAGGGCCCTCCATTCATCTGATTTTGAAGGTTTGGCTGCGAGGTCATAGATGGAGGACGACGATATGGAAGAGAACCTCCTATTGTTGGTGGAGTGTGCCGTGACACTGGTCTGTTCATACTGTAAAACTGAGCGGGGTTACCTAAAAGGAACACGAGGAAGCAATCAAATTAAATGGAACATTACATAAAACACAGCAAAAACATTAGCTTTAAATATTTTGTGCAGTTTATTCTTTTAACAAAAATGAAATACGCGAAAGGGAAATCCAAGATTGGGTCAACCATAAGAGGCAATATAACTCTAGAATGGTACTGAAAGATTAGTACATACTACAGAACAAAGCAATCAGGTAACAAAATCCTATTAACTACCTCCCGGCCAGCCGCTGTGTATACACGGCCTGCCGGGAGCTTCTTGGATGTAACTGGGCGTGTATACACGTCCTGTTACATCCGCCAGCTTGGCGCGCACGAGCGGGAAATCCCCGCTATTTGAAAAGAGGCAGCGATGCCCGTTAATATACAAGCGATCCGCCGACTATAGAGCCGGCGGATCGCTTGTATGAAGCCCCGAGACGTGCGCCCCTCCCCTCCACCCCTCCCGCTGTCAAGCTGGTCCCGGGCTCCGGTGTGAGCCCGGAGATCTAAACACCTGGTCTTCAAGCAGTTAAGTATCAATTTTCAAGCATCAAATATTTAACCTATAGCCCTAAAAATAGTACTTGTAGAGAATGACAACGAATGGCTAAAGGAAAAAAAAAAAGCCTTTATGATTTATAATCAATTTGGATAAGAGTGTGAAAGGAATATAATTCCTTCAAGTTTTATTTTTGCTGTGTCCTCGCTGGGGAGATTAAGCCTCACCCTGTGTCGAAACAGAAAATAAAAAGGAAAAATCGCCCCAATTATACACAGTCAGCAAAAGAAAACTTTTTCAGGGGCTTTAACCACATGCCCTACTAAAAAAAAAAAAAAAACTTTATGGTTTTAGACATACTATAAAAATGAATATTCTATATTACTGGAATACAATCAGAATGTGTATACAATAATAAATATGCTGTAGTTTTAGGGGGGGTTTTAGCTGCTAGGTCCTGAAGAGAGAGTTCAGATACCCCGTGATGGCAGCACCATGGAGAGTTGAACTACAGCACTCAAACATAGCGCAGCAACCTGGGCCGCCAGCGGCCCAAAACACCCCCTCCTGCACACTGTTCCATTCAACAGTGCTGCTCAGGCAGCTAGAGCGCTGTTGACTGGACTCTCCAAGATGCTGCCAACAAAGAGTACTTTAACCACTGCTGCAGCACTTAGAAGCAAAAATAATCAAAACAGAAATCTATGTATTACTGTATATGCAGCCTTATGACATTACAGTATTAATTATAGAGGGTTCAACTAGGCTATAAAAGATATTTCAGTTTCACTAGCAAGGCACTGTCACAAGTAAGGTAAACCATGTTAAATTTGTACATTAAAGGTCATGCCAGATTGTAGTCATTTTGGTTGTGTGAGTAGGAGTGATAGATTACACTAATTTGAATAGTGTTTTCATTGATCATAGGCAGCAAAAATATCACTAATGTGTGATAAAGGGTGGGAGACGGAGGAGTAGGTTGCAGGTCCCCACAGACAAGAGGTTTAAATATGTGGTTGGGAAGTAGCATAGGCACTTGTAAGCTATACATTCCTCTAATATTCCCATTCCCTAGCTCCATTACCTTGTTGCCATGTAAACAAACTTCTCTTCTGAGGCACACACTATATATATATATCCAGGAATAAGACTTCACAATTTATCAAGCTTTACAGCTTCCTGGGTTATCTGCCTGCTCCTTGGACAATGAACAGGCAGAAACAAAGTTAATCAGGAATCAGTGGTGTCAGATTTCTAACTATCCGGATATATCCAAAAAAGGACCCGAATTGCACAGATGTGCAAATCCTTCCACAGATAAACAGGTCACATATATGTATTTTAACCATGTATTTAGCGGTTTGCCTGGAATCCCACTGTAAATAACACTGGCTAAAGAAGAGCACATGCAGTTTTACTTATAAGTTTACAAACCTTTGGCAAAATCTGTGAAATGTTTTTTGCTGTACCAAACCCAGAAAACATCAGACTTACAATACACCAAAGAGCACATACATAGACCTCAACACTTCTGGAACAAAATCATGGGGGAGATGAGACCAAGACTTAACTTTATGGTCACAAGTGTAAATGCTATGTTTGAAGAGGAGTAAAGAGCCCCAAGTAGTGAGGGCACACCAGCCCTCCCAAAATTGAATGCAAGATAATTGCAGCATATTACCAGAAATCGTTGAGTGAAAATGAAAATTTGCATTAATTAGCCTTGAAGAAGACAATGATCTGAAACAAAAGGCCAAGTGGACCCTTCAGAAGCTGCAGAATAAAAAAAAGTGAATGTTCTGAAGTGGTCATTAAAATCTTCTGGCGTCTATCTTTGACCCACTCTGGAGAGATCTCAAACTTGCTTTTCATGCTAGACAATCAAAGAATTTGCAGGACTTGCAGGCTTTTTTTGCCAAGAAGAGGGGGCACATTTACCAAAAGAAAATAAAGTGCCTCATCCACAATTATCAGAAATGACAGTAAGCTGTTATTGAGGCCAAATGGGCAATACACAATATTAGGAACCAGTGAGTGCAAACCTTTGAACAAGACCATGGTATTTTCTTTTGTAGCTATGGACTATTTAATGATTGTGCTATTCTGTAATGCCCCAAATTTAATTTTAAACACATATAAAAAAATGGTGTTTGTCGTGTCTGTAAAAATGTATTTACAACTTACAAATTCTGCCAAAGGTGTGTAAACTTATGAGCCAACTCTAGTTTGACCAAAACCAAAAATAAACAAAACCCAGATCCAGTCAAAACTTTTTATCGGGTTTTTGAAAGCACAGGAAAGGGTTAAAGTACCTGTCAGGTTTTTAAAGCCATCTGTCTCTCTGTAAAGGTGGCCATACACTTTACAACCATCGCAAGGCCTTAGTCTTGCGATGGTTGTAAAGTAATTACAAAAAAAACGTACGATCTGCCCATCTTGGACAGGCAGATCGTACTCTCGATCATCGCAAGCCCGCCCCCTTAAGGGGTGGGCTTCCGATGACCGCAATGCTGAACGGGCAGTGTGCGCATGCGCACACCGGCCCGTTCAGCATTTGTCTCCCGAGCACTGTTCAAACCAGCCAAAAATCGTACAAAAGACAAAAGACGTGCGACTGTACAGTAGAAACGGTCGCACGTCTTCGTTCACGCTGCTCGATTCTCGTCCGATCGCGGGATTTCCCGCGATTCTCGTACGAGAAATCGAGCAGTGTATGGGCACATTTAGGGTGATTCCCTTCGGCTTCCTGTCAGAAGAGGAACTAATGGACCTCTCCACCGCTGGCATAAACAAAACGCATACATAGAATTTAGTGGAGTGGGACGGGATAAAACCGCTCAATGTTTTACTGCTATTCATACGTTCCTGACTTGGTCATTACGCCAGTCCCATTTCTTTATAGGGGACATGGGGAAAGGAAAATCAGGGCCATCTATCCAATTGAGTCAGGTAGGAATATATGCCTGGAAGAAATATGAACTCTTCCCTGCTCTAACCAAAACAAAAAAAAAAACTATTAACAATGGCTGAGTTAGGCTTTAAATACATGCATATTCTCCAAGTGACTTTCTAGCGCTGCAGTAAGACAACAACCTTTTTTAAGTGGTTCTGAAGGCTTTTATTGATTTTTTCTAACTTTTATTCTTTATACAGGATTTTTTTTAAGGATTATTTACAATGACTTAGCAATTATATTTATACGTCTTTCACAAGAAAATGCCACAGTTATATTAAATAGTAGTTAGATTTTAAACATTGTGACAATAAAAAGCAGAAAATGCGGCATATAAATTATGTTCATCACTAGATAAAAAGGTGTATATATCAATAAACATCATGTATTTATCAATAGGACAACAAATAATAATGTGGTAACTCATGAAGCCAATAAACTACTATTCTGCTATGATAAAGGATTTTATAAAACCAGAAAAGCACACTTGATGCTTCGCTAAACTTGATTATACCATTTACTTTTGATAATGTAACTCCGTTTGTTTTGGGTTACATTATCAATATATCCGAGATGTTCTAGAAGCACTCAAATATGTTTAATCTAAAATGTCATTATTTTCCTTTCTGCTTTAAAAAAACTGCTGTGATCATACAAACGTAACACAAACAGTACTAGACAGACCATGTACCATTACTACATGTCCCACTGTACAATGACAATAAGGTATAAGCATTTACCCATGTATATACCCTCCATCCATGTAGCAAGGAGACCAAACTCTCACCATTTAAGAAGCTAAAATTCAACTTCACTTCCATTGTTAACCCCAGGACACAGGTAATGTGAATCACCTGCCTGCCTGTCTACATCTGGCAGACAGATTTTGCATCTCTCCTGCATCCTATGAGGCTAAAGGGTGGACATCTATGGTAGGTGGAATTCCAAGTTATCTTGTTTATTGTATATTTTGTATTAGGGAGGGTGACAAATTTGAATTTGTAATGATTGCAGCAGTTGATTGAACTGAGGGTGCATATCGCTACTGACTCAATGCAGCCATGCATAACCAGTGCATTTGTTTAGAGTGGAGTTGACTTTTAGGTCTAGAATTTCTAGAGCGTGGAGAATGGTGGCCACAAGTCAGCAAAACTAACGGAGAACAATAAGATGTGTGAAATCTGCCCATTTTTTTCAAATCACCAAACCTTGGGAAGCCATCACTTTCTTGACTTGAAAACAGCGCTCAAGTAACACCACTAGAGGTTAGACTGTTCTGGCTAAGGCAGAAATATACAGAGATAATCTGCCACTACCATATATTGCCTCCTAGGAAATGGTTAGATGACTCAATATGAACAGAACAGAAAGTGTGTATATTGGGTGAAAAAAAGTTAATGCAAGCCTCTGATCATCTGCTGAACAATATAATTTGCCATGAACTGTCACCTTAAAGAGACTCCCGTCACCAACTTACAAACTGCTGGTAAAACATAAAACAAATTAAGTATTTTAAATGTTTCCTTGCAGTATTTCCCATTCTATAAATTATGGAATGCAACGTGCCTCTAAACTTGCTTAAAATGTTGACTACTCCCAGAGCGAATACAACCCCCTTGCTTGCATAGCCCTCTCCTCCTCTGGGAGTTTCTAATTTTTGTGCTGGGCTAACTCCTCTAATCCTCTCTTTACCCTACAAAAATGTATATGTAGCTACGAGAGGAGAAGCAAATGCAAATACCATAGGGTGCCATTTGAGTGACAGTTCTGAGTCTGCTGGGGCTGCTGATCACATCCAAGATGGCGACACCCAGCCGCAGCCTCAGGCCTTTTGAATGTTTACACAAGGAAGAAATTTGCAGATAAATAACATGCATAAATAATAAATGTTATGCAGGTTAGCTTTTTGTTTAAATCAATGGCTCGGCGATAGGGTCTCTTTAAGTAGACACATTATTATATACTTAAAAACAGTTTCACTGAAGTTCACAAATGTTAGATGTCAGTTCCACGTCACCACCACACTGTTAGATCAATCCACACACTCACCTGAAGGAGGAGCAGAGGAAACAGCAGGGGGAGTTGGAGAGGTGAAACCATCAGCAGGGGGTTGAGCTCCTGCAGCAGCATCTGGGATAGTTGAGGAGGGAGGGGCAGTAGCAGGGGCATGAGGGACAGGGGCAGGTGTGGAGGTAACAGGGATGGGAGGAGTGCCAGCCAAGCCAGCAGGGGCTATGTGGAGAGAGGAAGATGTGAAGTTAATACAGAAAGCATGTTAGGTGGGAATAGAAATGCTTTCATGAAGCTCAGTGTTAGGAATTTAGTCAACAGTTCTAGGTACTGCCATCATTCACAGCCAGCAGTGAATGGAATTCATGCAAAGGAAAAAACTTGATTCCATAGTTTCAATTTTTGTTTGAGAAAACATACAGTGAATCGTGAGCAGCAATGATTATCATTACTAAAACAGGCACAGCTGTTACCCTGCAAAAGTCACCTTGCATATCTATTGATGAAACAATCAATGTCATTCTCTAGGATAAAACATTATACTACACAAAATATAAAAAGAGAACTAAAGATGTATGTAAACACAAAAAAAACACAATGGAAAATAAAAGCCTGGGTATAGCCAATTACAACTGGATCATTTGGGGAATTTTGCAAAGATACAAATGACATTGAAGATGACAGTTGTATTGTTTGTCAAAGAATGTACTAAAAAGTGATACTTTTGTAGGTCATCACTAGTAGAAATAGCTTTAGGATAATTTTATATCTAACTACAGCACAAATTACTGAACCCAAGAGTCACAGGGCCTCGTTATCCGGCAGAAAAAAAAAACAAGTGGAAATAGGAAAGAAGATACCTGCAAAAATCTTTACACTTCAAAACAAAAAAACAACCCACACAATCTTCAAGCCATTTTAATTGTTTTTTTCCCCTAAGAACATAAAAAGGCTACATAGTCTTAAAATTCCAACTGATCAGCAACACAACTAAATATATGCTGCTTATTTATGAAGGGGAAGATAAAGCAGGATCAGATATACTAAGCCTCAGATATTACTAAGCCTCTTATACTTGGCTAACAAATCATAATATCATACAGTGCCTTGTTAGGCACTAGCACTTATGTCTATGTGCTGCTGGATGTTATTTAGCTAAATAATAATTGCTTGATATTACTGCTACTGGCAACTACTCGCCATAATTAATTGATAATTCCTGCACATAGGACTGCCAGCAAGAAGAAGAAAAAAAAAAGAGTCCAGTAATCACTAGCTGAATGTAATGGGACTATTTAAATGGTACATTGGTTAGTTCTCGGTGATCCTGGATAATTTCAGACATTATCACCGACTATATGAAGCTGTATGCTACCTCTAACTAACATAACTGGATTAATTGGTCCAACACTTTTTGATCCGGGAGATTAAATGTTTCCTATAAGGGAACTAAATTCTTCCCGCAGTTTATGGAGTGCCCCTTATTGATTTACAGACCTATCTATCAATATAAAACTATATAACGTTAAATATATTTAAATTAGACATTTGCTAAAAATGAACCAAGTACAAACACAACATGTCAAACAGCAATGGTTATCTGTAAATATTAACGGTGTGCTCGAATCAGCAATAATATGATGCTCACAATATTTACTATATAACATCGAGAGAAAAATGGTGCATGCAAGAATGTATGTATACAAATGGCAAAATAGAAGCACAACTCCTCAGCACATCAAAAGCATACAAGACAAGAGGTTGCTGGCACAGCATTCTGTTCATGGTACATAATGCAAATATCACAACATTGAAAGGAAATCTATTATCTCTTTATTTTGGCAAACATACCTGGAAAGACACTGGGAGGAGAAGGAGTAGGGACAGCAATCGGGACACCAACACTACCACTTCCACTGTTCTCCCGACTGCTGCTCCGACTACTGGGATGACTTCCACCACTACTGCCACTGCTGCTACAAGGATCAAACAAAGCAATAAGGTAAAATGACACCATCTACTAATAAACTCTTTATTGAATACAGAAAGCCTATTTGATAAACAGTTTACCATAGATGTGCCATCTTCTGTCCCTTCTTAGCCTCATTTTTTTTTAGATCAAAATGTTCAAACATATGTTTAAGTGAAGTAACTTTGGCTACTACTTCTAAAACCACTTTTAAACACTACGTTTAAGTCAGTGCATAAAGCAAAGTGCAGTAAGATACTAGCAACCACATTTTAATCTATCATTATAATGAAGCCAGGGCCATGAAGGATTATCTCTGATTATTATGGCTTACCTTACTTTTCATATTGCCTTTTGCCTCATTTTAAAAGCATAGGAATACTGTAATATGAACAGGAGGCAGACCCTAAATATCAGGTTATTAAAAAGGCAATATTTTTAGAATGGAAAGGCTCAAAGGTATTTGACCAGTCATTTTTGAGCAGAAAGAGTATGGTTCAAAAAGATATAAAAAACATTTAAAAGAACTAATACCAAACCTTGTTTTGGCTTTAATTGTATTTCAGGTCACAGAAGTACATTTAATAATGCACTCCTGTGACCCAAACTCAGCATCTAGTGGGCTATTGCTGACAGGGTAGAGCTACACTGCAGCGAGGAAGGTTCCCGACAATTTTGTCGGGATCCACGCCGCCGCCTGACAGGTGCCTCTGCCTCTCCCCTTCCGTCTGTCCCTCCAATGACCACTGGAGGATTAGAGAGAGGGGGAATCCCTGAGGGGAGCCATGACTGTCACCGCACTCTGCCGGGAGAAGCCGTGAGCTGTGTGATCAGCTGTTTGTGATCGCTCAGTTCTCAATCTATAGAGCTGGTGTGTGACAGCTGCAGTGTCACATGCCAGCACAAAGTATTGGAAAGAATACATTTTACTTTCTCAACAGTTCTGCTTTAAGACCTAGAAACTTAAATTCCAACAGTTCCTAAAGCCTTTGGGACCAAAGAGATGGCGTTTTTTAAGCATTGATGATTTCCTTGTACACTATAGCCGATACTGGTTGAATTAAGGGATAATTCTAATATCTATGGGTACCAGCAAAACTCACCAGACTCCCTCTGGCTCATTCATTTCAGGAGCAATAGCAATCGGCTGCTTTGATTCATTTTATTCAATTGCTATTGCATTCTGCCAGGTTATGCTGAGAAGGTGGCTGTGATCCCACTCCTCTATGGACATAAAAATACACATATGTGCATCCTAGCATGGGAAAAAATTAAAAATCGATCGGTCCTCTAATAATGGTGGGCAGCTGTAGATGGGCTTTCATCATAGAAATGTGTGGGGAGAACTTGCGTAGGATATTCAGGCAATTTGAGAGATTGTCATAATCAACATGTTTCAACTGGTTTACCAATGGCTCAGAGATAAGAATCAAGTGAAATTACTCCAATCCACCAAAACCTGCCTAAAAACTAAGATATCCTTTAATTTAGGAAAGATTATCTTATTACTTTATTTTGCAAAGTGCAATAATTCAGGGCAGCCATCGTTCATTTTGTATTGCTTCTGGTCTATACAGTTTGTGATCATTGCATTTCCCAATTCCCTATTGCTTAACCTTGTTAAGTATATTGAAATCACGTAATCCACTGTAATTATATTGTGCAAAGTTAAAAATATTAAAAACAGTTCTAACCTTATCCTTGCCAAACATTAAAAAAAAACAAAAAAAAACCCATCTGTGCAGGAACTGAACAACATATTTAAGAGGGTTGGTACTACATGCTTTTAGGACAAGACACACAAAAGGACTGACCTCAATGTAAAAAAGACCTACATGAAATTTGGGGGAAAAGGTTAAAAAGAAAAACAAAAATCACACAAAAATGGTAAAACGTCGGTCACAAACCATTTTTTCAAGCACACGCAGCGCCAAATAATTTCTGATGCTCTGTAGTAGTGAAGAAGCTTGTAAATGAAATGTGTGTATATCTAGCAAATGCCCCATTTTCACAAGGAATGCCATCAAAAAGAATGGCAGTGGGTTAAAAAAGTGATATAAATGAATAGATTCCTTCCTTATTATTTGAAAGACGTTTAGGCAACTATATTCCAGTGGGTCAAGAGTTTGTTTTTTTGTAGTTGCTTGTGAAGCTACTTTTTATTTTTGCAATAGCTAAAGAATTAGTATTGGAAATAGTACACAGCTTAAGTTTTGCAATATTACGAAGAAGAAAAGGGCAGTAAGCTTAAATAGATAATAAATCTTCATCTTACTTATGGCTTGGAAACTTTAGCACTAAATGAAAACAGCCTTCAGTAACCTGATAAAATGTGGTGAGTAGATTACAGGAATACGCCAACCTCCATTTGGCACAGTTGCTTATATAGCTTACATATACCTGTATGTGCGGTTCCTCTGGTTGACTGAAGCTGTTCTAACAGGGCTCTGTTGCTGTGAGGGAGCCATGTTACGTGTGGGGCTGGGAACATAGTCATTTGGAACGACAGGGGGACGCACAGGCTCCAGTGTGCGATAGGGTGAGTGTCGCCTTCAAGAAGAAAAAACAAAAAGTAACAAAATAAACCTCCAGATGATATCCCGAAAATGTGGGGCATAAGGATAAACCTGTCTATAGCAACACATGTCAGTCTTGCGTGGGGGTCTTATTTGAATTCAGACATCTTTTAAACAACTAGTAAAACCCATTTTTTTAAAAACATGGGCCTGACTGGAACCTCAGTTAAGATTCACGTTTCATCCCCTTCACTGCTAGAACATTTGCAGAGCATTGGTTGAGAACTTAGAACTCAGGCAACATTCAGGTTTGTAATTCCACAAACAAAAAAGGGATCTGCCACAGAGTGAATTTTGTGAAAATAAAAATGTGATGTAGACAAAAATGATCTGGAACTAGTTGTCAGCTGAAATAGGATATTAGAATATTCAGTATGTAGCTCTGCTCTTTCAAATCAGAAGCTCCAGAAAAGCTAATATTTTCTTAATGTAATAAATTGTATGACTAGAAGACAGTGCAACCTGTCACTGTGGAAAATCAGTATAAATAGTGCATTAAAGCATGTCTTTGGATGTTATTTTTAAAAATAAATCATTTCTATGCAAAGATTTAACTGCTTACATATTTCCAGGCAGGAAAAATTATACAGCTATTCATGACAGGCTTCAAAAATACTAATTGTTCTCGTTAAAATGCAGAAGATAAAGCCTTCTGAGGTTCAAACATAGAACAATTACTGTGGGGAATAATGACATGCATATACATAACACGTAACATCGATATTTGTGGGACAAAGACTTGGAAATGCTTATGAAACATTTAAAAACACTTCTTTTGAAAAGATATCTCCTAAAAAAATTAAAATCAGCTGAAAACTACTTTGGCAACATAACAGCTAGGGAGTCTTAAAGCTTGCAAATTCAGGATACATTGCATCTGTGATGACTCTAGTATTCCCCATACAATGTCAGCAAAATAATTACCCAAGAGTTCCTTTTCCGGCCACTGGTGGACTAGGGGGCTTCTGGGTTGGTGGGGTGGTACGTGGCAAACCACCCATCTTCATGTTCTGTGTACTGACCTGAATAATATGGAAGACAATACTGCATTGGAATTTCAACACCTATATAAGAATGTAGATAGACAATTAAGGAATTTGTTTTGTAGACAGTGCAACGCTTTCAAAACTGTCATTTGTTTTTGGTCAATCTAATTTTAAGAGGTTTATAAACCTATGTTCTATAGCTGTTTACTACATGTATAGTCTTTATTTTACAAATAAAGGAATCTTGGAGCACTGCGGTTTATCTAAAGAGTCATCACAGCAGTAGATGCCTTTATTGAGTCTCACTTTGTCTTATAGAAACCTTACAGCATGAATCCCCAGCCACAGCCTTAAGCCCCGTGTGAATGGGGCCTTAGTCTTCAATGGCAGCTAGAAGTCCTTTAAGCTTAGTTCTAATCCATACCACCCCTCAAATCACAATATTTTACCTGGAAATGTCTTGTACCAATAGATTTTTTTTTTTTTATGTACGATATTTAATGTCCAAACAATATCACTCTCCCAGCGCTCAGTGAATCCTTGTTACTCCCCATTTAGCAATCTTCAAAGATGACCATCACTCAGAGAGGCTGCATTTCCCAAAGGCAATTGGGATATATCCTCAAAGTACATGTAAAAAATAACAAATGGAGACTCGGACACAGAGCCTTCTCCTTGTGCATTAACAGTTAACGAAATAAAGACTAGTAAAACTACTCACATAAGAAATGTATAATCTCACAGTGTATGATCAAACTAGGGACAGCCAAGGTACTAAACGAACGTCACAATTTGTGATGCGATTGGCATTTCGGAGCACCTTGGCTGTCCCTGGTTTGATCATACACCGAAAGATTATAACATTCTTATGCCAGTAGTTTTACTTTTTTTGTTTTCGTTAATAAACATTAATGGACTAGAAGGCACTGTCTCCATTTGTTCTTTTTTTACGATATTTAATATGTTTAATATGTGGGATTTCCAAACTTTTCTTATAGAACTGATGTAGCCCTGACATTGAATCTTTTTTATATTGTGTATATTGTGACATGAGTAAAAGGGAAAGAAAAATTAGGCACTGACAAGACTGAGGATATCAAATGTTTGTGTTCTTCCATTTCCTGTCAATGTGTTAATAGGAAGAGTGTTTAGCTGTGCAATTTATTAGCTTCCTGTATTATTTCCTTCCCGGATAATACATTAGAGTGGTAAGTAACATTGTTGGTTATTGTTAAATTAATTAGTGTAACATCTCAGCTTTTTTAAAGTGCTGCATCAGAACATTTTAAAATTGTAGTGCAACATAGGTTATGCAGTTTTTACAAACAATGCACTAGAAAGTTAATTATCTGTATAGTTTACCTACAGTATTGATTTTAATTTATATCATTGTACAGCCTTTGCTCCCTTTTTAATGGAAGCCATATTTCTAGGCTCAATGGCACTTTTTTTTAATAACTTCCATAGATAAAGATCTATGTTCAATAGAAAATTATTTGTTATCTTTATGTGGCATTTTAACAGTGTATGTTAAAAAAATATTGGGAATAGATAATCTTTGGGCTTGAAAAATCTGAAAATTAGTTGATTATTCAGATCCAAAACATTTAGCCTGTTACCCTACATTTAACAAAATCTGTCCAAGGAATAAATACACCAGCTGCCATTACAAACCTCCTTCCGATTGCCATACTAATTTGCAGGATTCGTTACTATAAAGTGACATCTAAGTCAAATTCCCCCCATATGCTGGTGTAAGGACTTACCTTAAATGATGCCTCTTGATCCGATCATCTTCTTTCCAGTAGTTTTCAGGCGTCCCTCCAGCGCTGGTGCCGGTCTCTGATCCAGCGCTGACTGCTGTGTCATCCTGTCCCATGGAGTCCGTGTCTGGAGCCAGGCTGCCTGCATTGACTTACCCTGTGTCTCTGCTCTTCACCCGGCCAAAGATCTCTACTGCGCATGCGCCCGCCCCATGATCCTTTGTGGCCGCCCGAGAATCTTCGGACGGGAGCGTGCGGCAGAGACGCAGGCTAGTTTAAACCTATTTGGTAACTTTTTTAATGTTTTTGTATATACTGTATATAATGCCGCTTGCTAGCAGTAGAGATAGGCAAAAAAGCGCAAGGGTTTAATTGTCCTTTAAGTCCCTGACCTGGACTAGAGGTAAAAGACTCAGATCCCTAGTAGCATCACAGGTACTGCATATACTGCATATAGGATTAAAGACCCCTAATGGATTGTTTCCCTAAATGCATGGACACATATGGAAAAGGTAACATGATGGTAAGTAGGAGAAGGTAGGGAGCCAACCCATATCTCATTTAGGATATTGTCTCTAGACATAAAATGTAGATGATCACACCTATGGAGTCTTACCTTAAATCTAAGCAACCACTTTACGTACAAATGAAGCACACAAGAGAAAAGGAAAGGCAGTTAAACTTAGAAATGGTTAGTAAGAAGAAGAAAAAAGCCATTTCAACATTGGTTACCAACAACTTTACAAGACAGAATCTCATATACAGTACATACTTTAATAAAACTAGGGCTGCAACTAATGATTATTTTCATAATCAATTAGCTGGCGGATTATTTTTTAGATTATACGCATAAAAAAAATTAAACAAATACCAAACCTCCTACTTAAAATAAAATACACAAATGCAGAGTTACATAGTTTACTTTTAAAAAAAACTACATGCACAATTGTTTGCAATCGCACTGCAACGCACAGCATTCGAGTTTATTCTATAACACTGTGGGTGAGAGGTGTTTAGGGTGCCAGTGAAATTAATGGCATTGCAACGCACCCCCCACAGCAGAATATGTGAGAAATTGACTTTTTTCCCACGTTTTATCATTATGTTTTTTAAATAATTGTATTGTAAGGCTTGAATAGCTTCAGCCAGGGAATGACAGCTGCCAGTGGCAAGATTCCACAGACGGCAGCTGAATGTAAATATAGCAGGTAGTGGGTGTGTGCAATAGCCAGCCTGCTATTGGATATTTCAAATTGCAAAAGCAGGCTGGCTATTGCACCCGCCCACTCCTTGCTGTGCCCTCCTCCCAGCTGGGATGAGAGCGCTAGGGGATCCAACCAACTAATCGATAATGAGAATGAGAATGACAACTATTCTCCTCATTATCGATTAGGACGCAGCCCTAAATAAAACCTCAAGCTTCCCAGTTTTATTTTTTTTTCCTTCTTTGGAGAAAGCCACCTCTGTGAAAAGTACAAAGTGGAATCACAATATATGGCACAAAGAACAATTTGTCAAATACATACTTAATGTGTATTCTCCACCTGCAAGTTCTGAAATTTGCCACCGGACATGCATAAGCAGCCCTTAGCCCAGAGTTATTAAAGCAGCCACATAAAGCTATTTTAATGCTTTTCCAGCTAATATTGCAGTGATTTTCTGTTTAATTTGGACACATCTAACTACAGTTAGGCACATTCATACTAACTACAAGAGACAGGCTGATCTGCCTCCTGCCCACATGCACATCTCCTCGCCTCCTGCCCTAAAAAAACATTCTGCAATCTGAAGGAGATGTCTGGGCTTTGAAAAAAAAGTGAATGGCAGATTTCTTCTACTCTGTCCTACTCCCCACTGCTCTTAATTCTTTTCAAATTTAGACCGGTGAGCCTAAGCTTGTTTTGTTATAGTGCTAACCTACAGAAACCCTAGCTCTCATTGGATCCACCCCTACATATCCCAAGGATGAGGAAAATAGAGCAGCGCTACTTCTGAATTCAAAGTGAACCTTGCTGCATCAATGGATGTTACTGCTGTTCAACTGAAGTGCACATACATGCCATTTAACTGAAGTATATACACCAGAAGAAGTTTCTTCATATAAAACAAAGATCTCTCTAGCTATTTCTACTTTCAGTCCTTAAACTGTCCTCTTATTTTATAAGCGCTAAGAAAGGGGGCTATGTTTGCCCTAAAATCAAGTGGGCTGATTTATGGGGGTGATCAAATTGTGAACGTAAAAAATGTTTTATGGACTCAGATATTTGTTTGGTTCGGCACCCATCTTTGTTGACCTACATTTGATCTTTTGGGTATCCAAGGAGTAAAGCCTGGCTGTTTGGAACCACCTTACTGGGGTCAGTGAGCTTGTTTCCAACCTTCAGAAATCTGAACCCCTTATAGGAATATATAAAAATTTCCAACACACCTGAAACATTCCCCTTTTTCTGCATCAATGACTTTTTAGGTTTACAGTGGGTCCTCATACAGCAGGTTTTGTGCATACTGCAGTTTGTATATATGAATTATAGAGGACTTGACTGTGAATAGTCAGAAAACTGAGAATTTGCTTCTATGTGTTAAGTTGTGCACATAGCCTGGGTAGTCCTCAAGACTTATTTGCCTATTGTAATAAGATCTGATCTTGAGTAGAACATTTGGCTGAAGGGTCAAGACCATCCGGTTGTCATTATACACATTGCAGTGCCAACACGCCCTACAGATGCCCCTTAAAATTGCATTCAGGGCCCTTTTTCTGAGTTGAGGACATTCCTATTATGAATTTGTAATAAATGCCATTACATTTGCATACAGTGTTTCTATATACATCTCTTTTTTCTTTTTTTGTGTAAAGCTATATCCTACAGGAAAGGACAAGAGATTAGAGCAAAACACAGAATTGTAAAAATTAGAAAAAAGGATCTTATGGGATTTTACTTTCTGCACGTAAAATATTGTCCCCGATAAAAGGATTAAGAGTACATTTACGACACTACAGTCTTCATTGAATGAATTAATGAGCCATCAATTAAATAGAAGGCTTTGGAGGTTTTTCTTCAGTCAGTTTAATACATCTGGAACACGATATATCCTTTATTTTTTAAAAAGGGAAATATAATTTAGGATTTTACAGGAACGAACAATGGTCCACAGAACGAATTGTTAACGAGCAACACCAGTATACGCAGCCTGCAAGTCAGTAACAACCTGTGTAAATTCCCCTTCTGTAAACATGGCTGAACACCTTCTCCCAGTACCCAATGTCTGAAAAACGTTAAAGCAACAGCATACTGTACAGTATTCATATAGCCATTTGTTACAGTTTAACCCAGGGGTGGAAAAATAAATATGGAATTTAGGAACCAGCCAGCAGGATTTTTTTAGTAGTCAGCTCCACTTCCATTAGCTACTTGGCTCTTGGAATTTGTCCAGCTCTGGTTTAACCTGATGACCGATTCATTACAAAGGCACTCCCCTTCTCAACCCAATTTCTGTTAGCTGAAAATTATCAAAATATTGAATTTTACTGAATTTGACAGGAAAATTTAACAATTATACCAATTACACAGGTCTTCTAGCACTCAAGTAATGAAAATATATGATATATACTAAAAGCTGATTATGTGGCTAAATGTGATTATGCATCCTGTTGTCTGTACTGTTCTAAAATACTATTCTTTGCACTTTATAACTTACCGATATAAATAACTCAACATACCTTCACCCCATGTCCAGTGTCATCAAGAATTGTATAGTCAATAGGTTTTCGAATGTAACGGACTGGTCTTTCCAAATTGGCTGGAGCAATTATTTTGTGCGTCCTAGAAGTGTTTTTGTTAGTTGTCAAGATTCCAATCTCTCTTCTTGCAACCTTTTCTTTATGAATATCCACTGTCTAGAGATTATAGCAATGTTACCATAAAAGTCAAAGGGGGAAAAAAAAACTACAAGAGACATTACATGGGTTATTGGGGAGTTCCTAATAACCATAATTATAAAGGCAAGCTTCAGTATCTAGCATTTATAACAAACGTTATGGTAAAAACATATCGGCTAACACAAATCACACACTCTAACATAAGGATAAAATAGAATGCTGATAGCTAGCCCTAAATGAGATGTGCTCGTTATTACTGTAGATATGTGGTTTAGGAACTTAAATATTTCCTACATAAAATACATTTTATTTCTTCAACTGGTCACGCAATTCAAGCTTACAACTGAAAGGGAAACCTGCAAAGAACATTTAGGCCGGCCACAGCGGCTAATCCTTAAATGGACTGCACAAGCAACCAGGGTTCACACTTTAACCACCTGATAGTGAAAATGAGACATCTTACTTGTCAACATTTACCATTCTGCATAGTGAGAAGGACCACACCCAACTTGTATATATGTTATCAAGTGCAATTATAAATACCTCAGAGAGCTAAAAGTATTCAATATCCCGCTCATCAAAGGGAGGTTATAACTACTCTCAACGTTAAGGCAATTCTTATTTTGGGAGCATCACTGGTAATAATCAAGCCATACATGGGTCACTATGAGGGAGGACGAGGAAAAGCCTAACACGCTGGGATGCTTGTCTCCAAAAATTATTACTTAATCAGGTAACTTTTTACAGAGAAGCAGGCAGACTGGCACACTACAGCACTGCCGGCAGATGTCCTTTTCTGTCTGCAAGGCTTTTTTTTTTCTCTTCTCTTGACTGGGGTATACTTTTAATTTAAGTAACTAACATAAATAGAGTAAAATGCTGTGAAATAATCAACATTCTGCACCTACCTATTGACCAAAAAAAAACCCCTTCACACTGATGGGTAAAATAGAGCACACCTTTTACTTTAACCCTTTCGCCGCCACTGTTGTATGGCCTACGGCGGAACACAACCACTTGCGGCAGGCCACGTCAGTATGCACTACATCAGTGGATTTTACCGCTCTGCTGTAAGCTCATGGTCGCTTTAGCAGCCCTCTGTAAAATATTAGCGGTCAGCCACTGATAACAGCTATTAACAAAAAATCCAGGTGCCCCCCCCCCCCGCACCCGCAGCCTGCCCCCCCCCCCCCGAG